TCTCCAGCGGATGCAGTTCCTGGCTTGGCCTGCAGAGCACAGGCCCGAATGAAGGTCCCACTGCAGCCATACCCTGCTACATTCAAGACACAGATGAACCAACCACACATCACAGGTGGCCAGAGTCTTCTCTGCTCCAGCCCTGCCATCAGACACCATGTTAGTGAGCTAGGAGCAATACAGGTAAGAGCATGTTTATCCCACAGAGACTTCATGTACGGGGACTAGTGAAGGGAAGGTGCACTAAAGTTCCAGCTGAACTAGCCATACACAGGGCTAAAGTGTGTCTGCTTGGAGAAGAGGGGCTTGGTTGGGGTGTGAGGTTGGTGAAAGAGTGAACTGCGGTGGACTGGATGCCGCGACTACCCCCACCCCCACGCTGTCTGCAGCTCCAACGTCTCGCTGCTCCTCCAGTCCACGGAGTCTGTTTCTCCCCCCTCCCTCTGCGTCCGGATTGGCCGTCTGAGGGCCAGCGAGGTGTTAGCAAACGCAAAGCAAGCAGAGACTTGCAAGCATAGTTGTGCACGGTCCTTCCTTGTCCACCACCCGGGACGCGCCTGTTGCAGGATGAACTGCCAGGAGCAGAGAGGCCTGAGAACAGCAAAAACTCCATGCGCAAAAAGCTCAGTCTTTTTGTGACTGCGTGGAGAGACTTGGACAAACCCTAGCACAGCTTCTAATCGCCTCACCGCGCCCTTGAGTTCCTGCGTGGACAAATTCAAGGCTTCTGAGAGAGCCCACAGTGTGCTCCAGCCTCCTGACCTCACCATCTTAGAATTTAAAACGCCGCCACCAACAAACAGCTTACAGTTGTGAATCCTCCCTCTGCCTGGCTCCTACAACTCCTTCCCCAAGCCCTGACCCCATTCCTTTGAAATGGGATCATTAGGCAGGACCATCCGGCTGCCTCCCAGTCTCCCTCTTGGTCTCCGTGGGAGAAGGCAGCTAACGGATAAGCCCAGTTATCAGACACACGGACCTGGTTACAGCAACACTGACCAGCCCTCTTTGCAAGCTTTTTCTAAATTTTCACTTCTGATTCTGTGGGTTGCCGGGGCTCTATCATTATCTCTTTAAATAACCCAGCAACCCTGATGCATATTGGAATGGAGGACAGCTGTCTTTCTGACTGCAGTAGTTACTGAATAAAACTCAGTTTTTACTGCTTTGTTATCTTTGATAGGCCCCAGCTGCCCCAGCTCAAAACACCTGAGTGAAGTTATCATAGGCCTTTGAGTTCCCATAAAGCCCAGCCCAGAAATGCCACAAACCCGTAATCAGTATTTGAGAAATAATGAATTTTTTACTGGAATCCACTAAACTTTGGGCTGGTCTTTTACTACAAGAGCCGGATTTTAGAATTATGGGTTTTTCCTGAAAACTTATGTTATAAAGCCAGTTAAATCTGTGACTCTGTTTCCCTTGTTATGATGATACTAGGCCCAACTAAAAATGTGCAAACTAAATCACCTAAGAGGATTGTATTGCATGACAAAACACAAGGTGAATGGATTCTTAAAACCATTGAACTACATTCTGGGCTAAAAGTCTACAAGTGGGGCATGAATAGTCATCCTCCAGGTGAAAGACTGGCAGCAAGCTAAGGACTCCACTTGCCTGTCTTAGTCCATTTGGGCGACTAAAACAAAATACGATAAACCGGGCAGCTTATAAGTAACAAATTTGTCTCTCACAGTTCTGGTGGCTGAGAAGTCCAAGGTCGAAGGTCCCAGAAGATTCAGTGTCTGCTCACGGCTCTGGGGCTGGTTTGTAGAAGACACTTCCTGCTCTGCCCTCCATTGGTGGAAAGGACCCTGGGCCTCTTTTATAAGGGCATTGATCTTGTTCAGGAGGTCTCCACACTCACAGCCTAATTACCTCTCCAAAGCCCCACCTCCTAATCAATGATTGGGCTAAAATTTTAACATGTGAAGGGAGAGGGGCAAACATTCAGTCCACCACAGTGCCTATCATACAGGCATCCCAACTTTTCTTAAAGATTTTTACAGAATTATAGCACATCAGTGTGTTTCAACCAGGAGCAAGGTGGGTTGTTGAGTAACTAGTTACTAACAACTTGTTACTGATATATGCTAATTTTTCTGAGGGTTAATTCAAATGTTAAGTGGCCTCCAGCTTCTCCCAGTAGAAAGGCTATTCCACCTCCCCTCCCCTGGGAAGTGCTTTCAGGAATAGGAGAGAGGGATGGAGCTGCTGAGGATGCCATAGGATTTGCTTGCCACTGTGGAGGAGTTACTGGTTTCACGTCATACAGATAGAAAGATTAAGAGCTTTGGTCGGGTGTGATTGATTGTCATGTCTGCCAACAAGAGGCAAGAAGCACAATGCCACTGTGGAGGAGTTACTGGTTTCACGTCATACAGATATAAAGAAGATTAAGAGCTTTGGTCGGGTGTGATTGATTGTCATGTCTGCCAACAAGAGGCAAGAAGCACAACACTGGTGCCCTGACTCTGCTAATCAATATGTGAGCATGTTTATCATTTTCTACAAGGCTGGGTAGGAGTCTCATTCCTCCAAATGCCCACGTTTTGCTGTAGCTGAGAGTTCTTTAATAGTTTTGTTTTTTAGAAAGGTTTACAACTGTTTTGCTGTGTGGTAATTAAGCCCGAGGGCCTTTCGAATCTGTGGTTAATGTTCTACCATTGAGGTCCCAGCAAAATTAAATTACGTAGCCATTATTACCTTGCTATGGTAATAAGGGAAAAGAAAAAAATATGAGAAAATGAAAAAATGGAAAAAAAGTGTTTGTAAATGGGGAGAGGAGGAGGGGGTGAAGGGAGGGCATGGACAAGGGGAAAATGAGAACCAAGACCTGTCATGTAAAGGTACAAGATCCCAATAATGAATGTAACTTTACTGTATACCTAAAATGTACCAATGAACTCAATTTAAAAAATTACAAGTAGCCAAATCTTGCCTTCCATAAAGATTCTTGAGATGTTTGCTATAAAACTAGCTCAGTTAGAAATACAGCATGGTCTTCATAACGAACTAGAGGTGAGAGAAAATGCTGGTGCTGGGTGGAAAGTTTTCTGGCATGGGGTGCTTAGTAGGCTTCTGAGAGGGAAATACCTTTATTTATGATCTGGGAAATAAGTGCCCTGATGTAATTTACAAAATCAAGCAAGTTTGAAAATGTTACTCACACAGATGAAACAATTCAACTGACACCAAAGATGTAAGGACCCTGGACAAAAAACAAAAATTATTTTGCAATTCGGGAAAGATCTCAACCAAAGTCTGGAAGGCACACCATTCTGAAATGCTGACACTGTAGATGGGAAAACCCCCCAAAATTGGCAAAAGCAGGAAATATTAATAAACGTATGCATTGGCATAAGATACATAATCTTAAAGTTGCTTTCTGTTTGTAAAAATTCTTTATAGCCTTACTAGAGTGTTCACTACATTCAACATGGAAAGCTGTATCTACAGTGCCATTTTCCATGAATATGCCACTCTACGTTACACAGTGCTATGGTTTAAAGATGAATGTCCCCCCAAAGACTCAGGCTTTGTGGACTGGATCCCCAGTACAACCACGTTCAGAGGTATGGCCTAGCGAGATGATTGGACCACAAGGGCCCTAACATCACCAGTTGGTTAATCTTTTGATGAACTCATAGCTGAATGGTGTGTCAGGAGGTGGAGCCAGCTGGAGTAGGCAGGTCATTGGAGGTGTGCTTTTTCTGGTGGTGGTGGTGATACTGTGGATTGAACTCAGGACCTTCACATTGAACTGCATCTCAGCCCTTTCTTTCTTCCTTCCTTCCTTCCTTCCTTCCTTCCTTCCTTCCTTCCTTCCTTCCTTCCTTCCTT